TTCTAGCCATTTCTTCTAAAGTTCGATTTTTCCTCTCAACAACTCCATTTTGTTGAGGGGTTCTAGGTGCTGAAAAATTATGGCTAATACCATTAGAATTACAAAACTCAATGAATCCAAGATTTTCAAATTCAGTTCCATGATCACTTCTAACACTAGTGATAGAGTAACCTTTTTCATTTTGGATTATTTTTGAAAATGTGATGAAATTTTCTAATGCTTCATCTTTAGTACTTAAGAATAGAACCCAAGTGTATCTAGAATAGTCATCTACCAAGACAAAAGCATATTGTTTTCCTCCCAAGCTAGTAGTTCTAGTTGGCCCAAAAAGATCTAAATGGATGAATTGTAATACTCTACTAGTTGATACATCATTAATAGATTTAAAAGAAACTCGTTTTTGTTTTCCTTTAGCACAAGCATCACAGATTTTATCATTATCAAATTTAAGCTTAGGCAACCCTCTTACTAAGTCTCCTTGAATTAACCGTTGCAAAACACTCATACTAGCATGACCTAGTCTCCTATGCCATAACCAACTATCATGCTCATCCTTAGCAACTAGGCATAAATTAGTCATATCAATAGAATCTAAATGCACCATGTAAATGTTTCCTATTCTATGACCAATAAGCATAATCCGATTAGATGCAATGTCAATAACTTTACAACCATTAATTTCAAATAAGAAATTGAATCCTTTATCGCATAATTGACTAATACTCAAAAGATTATGCTTTAATCCATTCACATATAAAACATTCTTAATTTGTATGGAAGAGGTATTACCTATTTTACCAATACCTTTAATGTGACCTTTTGAATTGTCTCCAAAAGTCAATTCTCCTCCATTTTTGGCGTTAAGCTCAATGAACCGGCTTTTGTCTCCGGTCATATGTCTTGAGCATCCACTATCAAGGTACCATGAGTTTGAATTTGTTTCTCGTGCCTTGTAGCAATGCTCCTTTCCCTACAAACATAGATTAATTTTTGATTTTTGGTACCCAAATTCTTTGGGTCCATATTCATTAGTTTCCAAAATCCTAGTCCCCTTAGGTATCCATTGTGTAGGATATTTTATCTTTAGTAGTAATGAGTTCTTTAGGAACCCACATACTTCTAATGATTTTTCCATTAGAGGTTCTTTGGGGACCTCTATGATTGTAGTTTCTAAAACTTTTTCTAACAAAGTTGGATTTTGAATTTCCACCTCTTTCAAAATGTTTTGTTCCAACTTTATCAAAAGAAGTTTTAAGATCATCAATTTTCTTTTGATGATCATCATTGATCTTTGAAAGTAAATTTTGCAAATCTAAATTTTTCTTTTCAAACTCTTCTAGTTTGATTTGCAAATCTTTGATTTTACTTTCAAGATCGTTGTTGGTTTTGGATATGAGTTTGTTTTCATTTTTCAATTTTGAAACATCATTTTTATATTTTAAAAACAATTTCTCATAATCCGAAGCCAACCCATTGTACTCCTCAAATAACTCATCATAAGATAAATCATCAAAATCGGATGAGTTAGAGGTTACCTTAGAATCTTCCCCGAATGCCATCAAGCACAAGTTTGCTACTTCTTGTTCCTCTTCATCGGAACTTTCTTCATCGCTCCATGTAGCCACATGAGCCTTGTGCTTATTCTTTGATTGACCCTTTTTCTTCAATTGTGGACAATCATATTTGACATGCCCCGGCTTTTTGCATTCATAGCAAATGATTGGGTCCTTATCTTTTGGTTCATTTTTGAGGCCTTCGTTTCGTTTGAATTTTCTTCCTTGGTAAGGTCTCATCATTTTTCTGAACCGTTTGGCAAACAATGCCATTTCCTCGTCATCGTCATCATTATTAGAACCACTCTCATCTTTTGTGGATTTGAGAGCAACTCCAATATTTTTCTTCTTCTCCTTTTCTTTTGGTGTCTCTTCAACTTTATCAAGGTCCACCTCATCTTCGAGCATCATCTCATGAGTGAGGAGTGAACCGATAAGTTCTTCAAGAGTTAAGGACGATAGGTCCTTAGACTCGATGATTGCCGTCTTCTTTGATTGCCATGATTTTGGGAGGGAGTAGACTAACTTCCTCACAAGCTTTTCATTTGAGATGATCTCTCCATATGATTTGAGACCATTGACAATCGTTGAAAATCTATCCGTCATAGCTTTGATGTCTTCATTTGGTTTCATCCTGAAATTTTCATAGCTATGCGTTAGAATACTAATTTTTGATTTCTTTACCTCATCTGTACCTTCATGTGTGACTTGAAGTTTGTCCCATATTTCTTTGGCGGTTGTACACGATGAAACTCTTCCGTATTCATCTGGTCCAAGAGCACAAAAAATAATATGGATGGCTTTGGAGTTGAGCTGGAACATTCTTGTCTCTCCTTCACTCCACAACCTTGGATGAGTGAGAGGTTTGATGTATCCTTCTTCTACAGCATTCCATGCTCCCATGTCACTTGCTTGAATGAAGTACATCATTCTATTCTTCCAATAGGCATAGTTAGCTCCATTGAAGAAAGGAGGCTTGTTGACGGGCATCGAATCGAGACCGGAGTCGAAGTTTGAAGCGGAGGCCATTGATGACTTTAATAATCGATATAACTCTTCCCGAATCGACTCAAGAGGCGATAAAACCTTCAAATGAGTTAGGCTCTGATACCAATTGTTGAGTTAATCGATTGACGGAATCGACCAAGAGGGGGGTGAATTGGCAATTAAAATTTTTGTGGAAGCTTTTGCAGAAAATTGAAAGTAATTGCACAGCGATTTACAATGGTTCGACTTTCTCAAATAAAGTCTATGTCCACTACCTTAGCTATCCACACTAAGGATTTTCCAACAAATTCACTAATTTGTTCTTTCTTTTGAGGCCAAAGAGATAACCTTACAATTCCCTCAAGAGTATACCCCAACTCTTGAGAACACTCTTTTTCCCAAAGAGAAGATTACAAATTTGCAAACTTACAAGAAAACCTCACAAGGTAAGATGTTTGTACAATTCTAGAACAAGAAAAGAACACTCAAAGAAAATTACAAATGAGCACAATAAGTGTTCTTTGAAAGCAAAATGAATATTGAATGAAAATTGGCTTGAATTGCACAAACTTTGTGTTTGATGCTTTCTCTCTTGTTTCTCTATGATTTCTTACTGATCAAGGGCTTCAGAACTTGTTTAAATACACATTGAATCACTTCTGAACGTTGGGGATAATTAATGAAGATAATATAGCCGTTTAGTGTGAAAACAATTAATAAAACAGCTTGGAGCGTGGGGGGAATCGGTTCCTCCTTATAGGGAATCGGTTCCCTAAGTGTAAAATTCAAATATTTCGACCGTTGAACAGGGGGGAATCGGTACCCCCTATGGGGGAATCGGTTCCCTCCGAGCATTCTGGAAATCTCGGAGTCAAACCATTCAGGGGGAATCGGTACCCCCTTGGGGGGGGGAATCGGTTCCCTCTGAGCAATCTGGAATTTTTGGCTTTGAAATGGTTCGAAATACTTTGAAAGATTATTTTGAAATTGTTTTAAGATTAAAACTTAATTTTACACTTAAGTAAGGATTAAAAATGATTTTTGAAATATTTTGAGTAATGTTTTGATATTCGAATAATTATATCGAATATACTTAGAAAATCATTTTGGAAAATCTTAAAATTCATTTAACTTAATTTGTTATATCGAAATATCAAAATGTTTTCAACACTCTTCATAATCTCTCTTATTAATATTCCATTGATCAGCATACATAAATTTCTTTGGCAAAACTATTAAACAAATGTAAAAAGGTATTAAGGAGTAGTGTATTAATTAAGAGGTATGTGCCGCTTTTAGTTTTTCCAAACTAATCTTTAAAATGACAATAAACTAATCTTTTTTCCAAGCTACGTGGAGTTTGGTAGCTTCTGCGAAATTGTTGACAATGAATTATGTACCCTTAATCAACATATATTCTATAGACATAATTATTTGTATTTAAAATTTAAAAAAAAATAGTATTCTTTTTTATTATCAAAATCGCTTGATGAATTCATCTATTTGTTAAACAAATAATTTAGGAACAACTTTATTTTGTTTGGATAATTAAACTTTATTACCCAAATAGCAGAACCTGCTACAAAATAATACAATCAAGATTCAAAAGAATGGGGAACATATGTACAAACAAAATTAAACTATACCCCAATTGCTACATAAAGATAAGTTAATGCTATTGTTTCTATCAATGGACCTGTTACTTAGAACAATCCCAACAATCATCTTAACATTGTTGATGATTTCAGTGGTGGTTCGACTTTTTCCCGTAAAGATCCTTCGATTTCTTTCTTCCCAAATGATGTAATTAAACCCATACCAAGAAAGTCTTAGAACAGTTGAAATCAAAGATTTCCCCTTCCATGAGGTTGCTGCCCATTCCAGCATGCTGGACCAAGAGGAGAAAGACATATGGAAGCCAGACAGAAGGAGCAGAGAAGTCCAAATAGAAGCTGTGTACTTGCAATTGCAAAAAATATGGTCTCTTGTTTCTATTCCATCATTACAGTAGATACAATCAGCATTAGAAATAATCCCGAATCGGTGTAATCTGTCCTTGGTAGGAAGACGATCCAGAATTAGCATCCAAGAAATAATACTATGCTTCGGTACATGGAGAGAAAACCAAATCAACTTATGCCACATGACTTTGCTATTTTTAGGCCGAATCTCATTCCAAATTTGCGTAGTGTTAGATGCAGAAGAAAGCAACACAACACTGGTTATGCATCGAATTTTCAGAATTCGTTTAAGAATCCAGCTTGAGTTATGCGGTTCAGACATAGTCCAAAAATCCTGGTTCTTGATGAAATTATTTTGAATCCATGCCACCCAAAGAGAACCTTCACCAGCAAGGAGTTTTCTGGTGAGGTGAATCAAACTAGCATAATTCCAGGTTTTAATGTCCTTTAGTCCTAAACTCGCATAATTTAGGAACAACTTTAATTTATGAAATATGAGATTATTTTTTTTACCTCAAATATGATAATTGATAATTTTATTTATTTTTTATTAATGTATTATATATCATCATAAATCTCGAGCGGTTTATGAGTATGACGTTCAAACACTAGAATGATATCAAAGTAAAATTAAATAAATATGAACCAATATTCAGTTTAAGAAGGCTGTGCAAAATTCAGAACAATTTTTATTTTTTAAAATAGTATATACAATAGATTACAAAATGACTCAATACAAAAACAACTCTTGCATATCCATCTAAATAATCATTTGTTGTTTTTGAGTAATTTCACTAAGACTTCTTTGATGATATCGATATCCTATCGTGAATCATGAATCTTATAATTTGTGCATGAAAACAATTCAAACGACGAGCTTACAAAGCTTAGTGTTACGCATTTACCCTACTATATTTTATGAGATTCATGAATATAGGCTTACTAATTATATATAAGCAAAGATAATAGCACAACAAACTTTCAATTAACACATCACAAGACATAACAACCATAACAATTCCACATAACATCGTAAAAGTAAGAATGGATCATGGACCGCACAACATCATAATATACCATCAATGACATTCTGGATCACGAAACATTAGAAAGTACACTTGATATATTCCTGGACCATACAACATCATATACAAATCATTTGAAGCATGGATCACACAACATCAAGACCTACATTTAGCAAATTTACACATTTTACAGTGATATTCCTGATCACACAACATCATGATTATCACTTGATAAGTACTCTAACTATATAACATTGGATATATATGGGATGAAACATGTGCCACGCAACATTAAAACCTACATCTAACTAGCTTGACGTTGACAAAGTTGAAAGATTTGAAAATTTAATTGCAAGAATTACTTATCAAGATTCAAGACTTCATATACCCTAGAAAATAGGGAACGCCAGTCTTTAAAACCAAAATAAAACAAATTAGAAGGACTTAAAACTAAAATTAAACCAATTTTAGCGGAGGGACTAAAACAAGAAATAGACCAAATAATAATAAACAGAGAAACACAACCCCCTGAACTCATAGACGATAAAAATCTTAAGTCCGGCCAGTAACATGTCGGGCAAGACAGCTAATTTGTAAGAATTTAAATAAAATTTATGCATATCATAATTTAGCAAAAAATATATATTTTTTCAAAAAAATGCTGGCTGTGGGGTTCGAACCCACGCGCACTTATGTGCAGCAGATCTTAAGTCTGCCCCCTTAACCTCTCGGGCAAACCAGCTTTGATATGCCTCTTCCTAACATATATAATATATTCTAATTAATTATAATTTTAAAAAAATTACTGAATAAGTTCTGATCTCACGCAAAATGATGTTATTCAACAAAAAAATAATTATCAACATTTACTACTTTATTTATATCACAATCATTAAGAGAATTTTTAAAATACACCCACCAAATTGCAAGGGGGAATTCGGAAACAGAACTCTCATCTTGTCGCAACATGAACGGGATTTAGCAAGGGAAGCATTGATGCTGTTACGTAAGGTAACTCTTTGCAATTCCAGCAACAAAGATGAAAATAATAATAATAATACATATCTACCTTTCTTTCATTTATTTTAACATTTACAAATCAATGTTTTTCTATATGACTGCTAACTATGTTTTTGCTTTCAGGTTAAAAAACTTGCAGCTCCTCAGTCGTTGATGTTCCCTAAAGACATGAACAAACAAAAGAATTTATACTAGGAGATAAAATTATAAAATTATAGGGGACAAAAACAAATTATTAATTGAAAATAATTTTTTTAAAGTATATGATAATTTAAAACTGTTAGAGAAGACGATTGCCCTACCGTCTCTCAAGTCCATCCATACCTAAAGAATTAGTGCGGTTGCATAAACAAAAACTCTTTGCCATAAATTCAGGAGATCGGCTCATAGCAAATAAAAGCTTATGATGATGTTTTATTGAACTTGCATATTGAGCTGACCCCCATTTCTCCATTGTACTAAAATGGGCATATTTCACTTGGGCCCCCTTCCTTCCATCAACCCATCAAAGCTTGCTTGTATTATATATACTCTCATCATTTCCTTACTTTCTTATTTTTGCTTTTCAATTCATTGATGTGTTTTGACAGGCAAATGTGATGGGGGAGATTTCTAATAGGTGAGAGAATGATCATTGATCGATATTTTTGCATTATAGAGAGTAAATTATGAAAAAGGAAGAGAAAAAGAAGGGTTGTCGTTAAAGGTGCTAGCTTCTTTCTCGATTGTGTTAATGAGTATTTAGAATGACCTTTAGGTTGTATGTCAATCATAAGATTATTATGACTATTTGTAGATTTACAGACTAGAAAGATCTATTGGTCATACTTTAGATTTCATTTTACCAAATCATATGAATCTCTCAGAACTCTTGTCTAAAGATTTGTCTGTGCTGTAATTGATTTCAAAGGGTTTGTTCGAATGAGGTAACGAAGAGGTTGTTCTGGGACTTTTAAACTAACAAAGAACGAATAATTTATGGAGGTCTAACAAGTGGCCTAATAAATTAGTTTAGAGAAAATAACCTCAGTGACCAAAAATCCTAGATAATATACGATTTTGACCAACTTTTTTTGGATTTGCGAAAATGACCAACAAAATCGCAATGTGATCTCTAATTCGCATTGCGATCTCCACTATCGCAAATTCGCGTTGCATTTCGCGTTGCGATAGTTGAAAATCGCGTTGCGATTTTTCATTTCGCGTTGCGATAACCTACAGTTGTCGTTGCAATTTTCCAAATTCGTTGCGATAGTCTACAGTTGTTGTTGCGATAGTCTACAGTTGTCGTTGCGATTTTGCAAATTCGCATTGCGATCTCCACTATCGCAAATTCGCGTTGCATTTCGCGTTGCGATAGTTGAAAATCGCGTTGCGATTTTCCATTTCGCGTTGCGATAGTTGAAAATGTCGTTGCGATTTTCCAAATTCGTTGCGATAGTCTACAGTTGTTGTTGCGATAGTTTACAAATTCGTTGCGAAAATTCGTTGTGATAGTTAAAAAAAAAGAATTTGTTTCTTAAGAATTTTCTCTAAAAAGATAGTATCCGCGCGGACGTGTCGAAGACACGTATTACCACGACCACGACCACGACCACGACCACGACCACGACCACGACCACGACCACGACCACGACCACGAGACGGACGGCGACGGCGGCGGCGCGCGAGAGTCCCCCTTGTTCTCTATCACTCAACAAGGAAGTGGGAAAGCCAAGCCTTAAATACCATTCCCAATAGTGTTTCCAATACTATGTGGGATTGAGCATTACCAACACTTGTTTCCAATACAATGTGATTATTCAGGAAACAATTAACAATCATGCACCTTAAAACAACTGAATCAGCAACCAATTGCATTAGTATTATACGATTAAATGTCATAATTAAAAGTCAATCTACAATCAATCGCGATTATTGCAATTTTAAGCAAAACATTCAAAAATAATATCACTATTTAAGGCTCAATCCCACATAGTATTAGGAACAAGTGTTGGTAATGCTCAAATCCCACATAGTATTGGAAATACTATTGGGAATGGTATTTAAGGCTTGGCTTTCCCACTTCCTTGTTGAGTGATAGAGAACAAGGGGGACTCTAGCGCGCCGCCGCCGCCGCCGTCCGTCTCGTGGTCGTGGTCGTGGTCGTGGTCGTGGTCATACGTGTCTTCGACACGTCCGCGCGGATACTATCTTTTTAGAGAAAATTCTTAAGAAACAAAATCTTTTTTTTAACTATCACAACGAATTTTCGCAACGAATTTGTAAACTATCGCAACAACAACTGTAGACTATCGCAATGAATTTGGAAAATCGCAACGACAACTGTAGACTATCGCAACGCGAAATGGAAAATCGCAACGACAACTGAAGACTATCGCAACGCGAAATGGAAAATCGCAACGCAATTTTCAACTATCGCAACGCGAAATGGAAAATTGCAACGCGATTTTCAACTATCGCAACGCGAAATGCAATGCGAATTTGCGATAGTGGAGATCGCAATGCGAATTAAAGATCGCATTGCGATTTTGTTGGTCATTTTCGCAAATCCAAAAAAAAGTTGGTCAAAATCGTATATTATCTGGGATTTTTGGTCACTGAGGTTATTTTCTCATTAGTTTAATAAATTAGAGTTTCTGTTAATAAATGGAAAAGTTTTTATTTTTGAGCCCTAATATTATTTTTAGTTTTACTTCGTACTCCAACCAAAACTTCTAACTTTGCCCGTTAAAATAATTTAATAAATTAGAGTTTTTGTTAATATAAAAATATTAATTGTTTGTATATGGCATATAGAAAATATTAATTTTCAGCAGATCGAGATTTATTAATATTTTCAGCAGATCCCCTAAATGCTTGTATATAATTATTTATTTTTGAAAGTATAATTTAAAAATAATATATATTTTTATATTTAAATGAAAATAAAAATGTTAATATTTGTAGTTATATATGTTGGTCTGATAGGTGGTGCTATTAATAATAAATAATAATGTAGGGCAACGTTATTGACCATGATTTGGTCACAGTAGTCGTAGGCCTATTTAATTGGGTGGTGAGATTCTCGCAATTGCAACATATGTCCCCAAATTATAATTTCTATTTTAAATTTATCCTTAAACTTTTAAATATTTTAATTTTATCCCTCAAACTATGTCTCTCATTCTAAATTAGTCCTTCAACTTTTGATCATTCTAAATTCATCCCTAAACTATGACCTTCTTTCTAAATTAGTCCCCAAATTTTTGAATATTTCAATTTTATTCCTAAAGTCATCCAAATATGTATTGGTTTCAACCATAATTTAACATGAATTTTATTTTTTTCAAACATATAATAATATAACTTGATCTAATAATTTTAGCAACAGGAGATGTGATTAGTATATACATATAGTTTGAGATGAAATTAAAAAAAGTTAACAAGTTTGGGGACTAATTTAGAATGAAGATCATAGTTTGGGGATG